CTACCAAGTGAGTTCCAGGAAAGGCGCAAAGCTACACAAAGAAACCCTGTCTCGAAAAACAAACAAAACAAAACAAAACAAAACAAAAAAAACCAAAAAAAAAAAAAAAACCAAAAAACAAAACAAAAAAAAAACAACCAAAAAACAGAAAAGCCAGTGTCTGAATCAACACCCTTGCTTGGAATGGGATTTTCCAGTAACTAGATGAATTTTTGACACAGTGCCTAACAGAATGCTCACATCCATCCATTGCTTGCATCCATGCAGTGTCCACTCTCTCCTCCAGCAAGGGCTTTCTAATTACCTAGTGTATGAAATCAGTTTGGCAGGTTGGGAGAGGGGTGTCTCTCACAGGCCGGGAGCTTCCATGGCCAAAAGGAATGCCCCATCTAGCAGCAACAGTTGAAATGCCACGGATAGCAGCATGCAACCCTTCGGAACCCACATCCTGCCGCGAACAAGAAAAGCTTGGCTCAATTCATATTGGCACCAGTGTGTCAAGTGTGTCCTGGGTGGCTAGCTGCTAGAAGCAAGTTCCAAAATAGCTTCACCCCCGGGAACCAGCACTTACCCTAACTTCAAAGAAACAAAGTTTGGGACCAGGCTGAAATGAATGGAAGGAGACACCTGGCAGTGAGGCGAGAGAAAAGTGGGAGCTGGGGGTGTTTGTGGGATGCGAAAGGATCTAAGATTCAGGCTTCGAAGCAGTGGCAGGGCACAGGAGGAACCCAGCCCTGAGAAGGCTGGCACTTACCCGCGTTCCGCAGCTTGCGGTTCCTGAGCACAGAGAGGATGACAAGGAGGTTCCCCACGACATCCACGGCTGTGGTGACAACGACCACTGTAGATAGCGTGGGAGCCACCCAAGGAGCCCGGGGAGTCCCTGATGGCCCTGCGCCTGCTGACCCGGACCAGCTAGGGCGCGCCGCCAGCCCGCCGGCCTCAGAGCAATTGGCGGCAGAGCTGTTCTCAGGCATCCCGACGCTGCCAGAGGCACAAGGTGAGCACTGCTTCGGGCACTCTAGTTGTCGCCTCCTCACCGCCCGCCCGACCCAGCCAGTGCTAGCAAGAGGCGGTGGGTGGGGAGGGACCTAAAGGAGACAATTAATTGAACGTGGGCAGAGGGGCGGAGAGAAAGAAAGGATCCAGACAAGGACCTGGGCTCAGACGTTGTGGAAAGGATTGCGTCTCAGAGGCACTTTCAGGAACAGCGCTGCAGCATCTCAGCCCTGCCGCCAGAGCTCAACCAGTGTCTGGCCCACTTCTAGTGGCCTAGTTGGTAAGGACAGTGTCCCTACAAACCAAGAACCCCTAGTTCCTTTACAACGTGGAGAAGCTGAGTCCATCTGGGGACACCCTGCTTTGCAGACTGCAGTGGGTGCTGGTGGTTCGAGCTATCTGGTCGTCAGAAGGCTCTGCCAGGTGGTGCAGCTCTAAAGAGCGCATGACTCCTGGGGAATGAGGAGCAAGCCCAGAGCAAAGACGCCAAAAGTGTTGTCACCTCTGAAAGGTGACAGAAAGCTATCCTTTGGCCACGTGTTGTGTGTTGTGGATGGCCTTGAGGTCAGTGCTGGAAAACCAATACTTTAAAAAATACTTATGTGGATATCCATTTAAGATTGGCACTTATATGGATGCGTAGTCTATGCTGGAGGTTATTATAATGTAGGTTTGGACAAGAAGATCAAGGAAGCGTGAGCACAAGATGGAAAGAATATTCCAAGAGTGTCACTAACCTCGTTTATGCCTCTTATGTTGGCCCCACGCGGCTTTTCCACCCACTAGAACCACTAACACCGAGAGACCAGTAAACCTGAGCGTATCAAGAGAGCAGCCAATGGAATCTCATAATGCCCAAGAACAAGGCAAAGTGGGGTGGAGCTTTAAAGAGGTGCCTGTGCTTTCCTCTGCCCACCCACCAAAGGACGGATGATCAAGATTAAACAGAAATCAGAATGAAACTCAACATAAAAACAAAGGCTGTTTCCTCCAAACCACTTACCCAACATTCTCCACAATAGCTGTGTGTGTATTAGCCCAAATCAAACAACAAACCACACCTCTATCAGCAGAAGACTGGGTGAATCAACTTCACACAATGGGATAAAAACTGCAACAACATGGCTTAATCACCAAAGTACCACATAAAGCTATAAGTGTAACCCATATATACCCAACACACACACACACACACACACAGACACACACACACACACACACACACACACACACACACACACACACACCTTCATGTGCATATGTGTATTAAATGGAATAAAAAAAGGCAGTATGCATTCAAATACTATGTATCCAAAAAGTACATAGTATTTGGCTCCATTTTCATGAAGTCTAAATTTCATCTGTGGTGATAGAAGTCAGAACTAGCTTGATAATAGAGATTTATCTAATTAAGTAATTAATTTGGCAGTTTAAGGGTATCAAATCTTGTAATGGTGGGCAAGCCCAGGTACCTCCTCAGCTCTGGAATGTTTTTTTTTTCTATATAACTTTATATAAGTCAAGCTCTTCTGTAGCAGGAATCTTAAAAGTTCTTATTAATAAAATCAAACCTGAGGCCAGTTATTGGGGTGAATACTGGAAGGTCAGAGAGAAAGAACAAGCCACAGCTATCTCACCTCACCAGTTCCTCAGCTGGGCCTGTTTCCTCAGACTGGAAGCCTCTGGGTCCTCATCCAGAATGGGTCTCAGCTGAACTGCTGCTCCAAAGCCTGAAAGCTTAACCAGCCACATGCTTTACCAGCCACATGCTTAACCAGCCAAAAGCTTAACCAGCCACATGCTTAACCAGCCAAATGCTTAACCAGCCAAATGCTTAACCAGTCAAATGCTTAACCAGCCAAATGCTTAACCAGGCCAAAATGCTTCTAGTTTCTGGTCCTCAAGCCTTATATATCTTTCTGCTTTCTACCATCACTCCCTGGGATTAAAGGCGTGTGTCACCATGCTTGGCTGTTTCCAATGTGGCCTTGAACTCACAGAGATCCCAGATGGATTTCTGCCTCTGGAATGCTAGGATTAAAGGTGTGTGCTATCACTGCCTAACTAGTGGCTTTTCTGTTCTCTGACCCCAGATAAGTTTATTAAGGTACACAATATTTTGGGGAACACAATACCACCACACTCTTCCCAGAAATCAAGAGAAAAGATGAAGTAGAGGGAGGGGGCTGATAGTGCAGGAGGAGGCGTATGATGACAGACGTGCACATGTGGCGAAGTGAGATGAGCACATCTGGATCCTGGGAGGGATGTGGTTAAGAGGAGAGGAGAATTCCCCGGGGCAGAGAGAAGGCTGAAGCCAGGTGCAAATTCAGAAAGGCTTCCAAACTGCATGGGCAGTTTGGTTTCCTTTCAAATTCTGCATTCTTGGGCAGTTTGAGGCTACATCATAAGACAGGCTTGGAGATAGGGTGGAGTTTGAGGAAAGAGAAGATATAAAATGGCATTTCAGAGAGTGAGAACTCTACCTAGGAGGCACAGAACACGTGCATGCCAGGAGTGTCCCTGTGTATGACTTTAAACTAAACCAGCCACTTGCGGTGTCGATCAGCAGCCAGAGCTGCTTCGGATAAGCAGGTGAGAAGGGGCATGACCTGCTTCAGCTAGAGAAAGAAGTGAAATCACAGGAGAGGTCATGCAAGGCCAGTGAATTGTGCTGAGTTGTCTTATTTTTAAAAGTGTGATCTCGAGAAAGCAAGTGCTTAGAGATGTGAAGTCTCCTTGCTTTCTTAGTGGTGCTGAGTTTTGAACTCAGGACCTTGTACTTGTGAGCATGCCCACTTCACTGAGCTATGCCCCAGTCTGAAAAATATATTTCTGAGGTGTGGAGGCTCTTGGGAAGGCTCAGAAGATGCTTATGGAGTTGGTCTCTGGAGAGAGGCAGAAAAAAAAGGGGCCTTAGAGATGGGGAAGTCTGGAATGGAGATGTAGCTTAGTGGGATGCTTCTAGTACACATGAGATTCAGGGTGTTTTACCACTGGATGAAAGGAAGAAGAAGAAAAAGAAGAGGAAAGAGGAAGGGGAGGGAGAGGGAAAGAAGGGACAGGAGGGGAAGAGTGAGAAAAGGAAGCAAAGAGAAGGGGGAGGAGAGGGATTAGGAGATGGGTAGAGCAGGGAGGAGGAAGGTGATGGGGAGGAAAAGGGGACAGAGATACAGATGCAACAAGACAGAGTGAAGGTCCACATTGACGGGAAGAGACAACGGCCAAATGCCATTTCTTCCACACACAGACCTACAGTGAGATCCCTCTGGCTTTTAGCAACATTCTTAGCACAAGTGGAATATCAGCTATGCCGCCTCATTCCAACATACTCTAATAACGACATTTGGCTAATGGAGTGCCAAGCACAGGCATCGGCCCTGTGCTGTCCTGGAATATAATCTTGCTCCTTGCCTGCGTCCACAGTTGTGTATGCTAAGACCTTTGAGATTGGAGTACTCAAAGTCAATGCTGTATCCTGACCCAGCAGGCTGTTCTGGGTCTTGAAGGCACACAGCAACTGTAAAGTCAATTTAAAAGTCAAACTAAATATACTTATATGCTTCAACAATTTTTATTCATACCATTTTTTAAAGATCTATTCACTATTTTTATTTGTGTGTTTGTGTGTAAAACCAAGTGGAGGGAGCTACTTACTGACTTGCTCATCATGACTTATCCAGCCTGCTTTCTTATAGAGCTCAGGACCACCAGCCCAGAGACGGCATCACCCATAGTAGGCTGGACCCTCCCCCAACAATCACTAATTAAGAAAACATATAGCTATAGCTAGATCTTATGGACACATTTTCTCAGTTGAAGTTCTCTACCTTCAGATGCTTAAAACTAGCCAGCACAATGACTGCCTTATAAAAGGAAACATTTAATTTGGGACTTGCTTACAGTTTCAGGGGATTAGACCATAACCATCATGGCAGAGAGCTCAAGCAACAGGCAGGCAGGCATGACACTGGAGTAGCTGGGAGCTCACATCTGATCTGTAAGTTACAAGGATGGTGGAGAAAGACTGAGCCAGGCATGGGCTTTTAAATCCTCAAAGGCCCTCCTCACCCCAGTGACATACATCCTCTGAGGCAACACCTTCTCAACTTTCCCAAACAGTTCTGATAACTGTGAACCAAACATGCAAGAAGATCAGTGCTTACCAGGAACTGGGGAAGGAATGCATGGACAGCATATGAAGGATCTTTAGGTCACTGAGACTCTTCTGTGTGATCATGGAGGGCATGATAGTAATCTGCTTCTATCCCATGATGGTAGACTCTGTCCAGGCCCATATCACATGAATCAAAGGCAAGCCCTAATGTAAACTGTAGAATTTGGGTGACAAGAGTGTGTCAATGTGGTGTTATGGTGTGCCAAATGTCCTACTTGTTGCAGGAACTTGAAGGGGAAGTTGTATGTATATGGGGACAAGGGGTCTGTGGGAACTATTTTTTTTTTTTAATTTTATTGTGACTCTAAAATAAAGCTTTTTCTAAAAGAAAGGGATTTTGGCTGGGAGAGTGAAAATTTCCCCCGAGCTCATCCTTCCTCAACCCAACAGAACTTAGGCAAACTTCAGTATGACTAACTAAAGTAGATCCAGGGAGGCAGTCCTGATAGGAAGTTGGGGCTATGGCATCCAGGTAATGGATGTAGTGTCAGACTCAAGAGAGTGGGTTTCATGTTCAAGAAAGTGATTTCAGAGCCTGGTCTAGAGAAGCAGAGTGAGGTTGAGGGCTCTTGAGGGCTTGGGCTCATATCCAAGCACAGGGAATCTGTTGAGGGAGTCTTAGACATCTGCAGCCTGTTGTAAAGTCAGACTCTTGTCTGCTTCTTCTCTGCTATGGTTTGGGTATTTGTTGTGTTGGTTGTGTGTTGGGTTGGGTATGTGTGTTGGGTGTTGTTGAGTATGTATTGGGTATGTGTTGAGTGTATGTTGGGTTGGGTGCATCTTAGGTATGTGTTGGGTATGTGTTGAGTGTATGTTGGGTTGGGTGCATCTTAGGTATGTGTTGAGTGTGTGTTGGGTATGTGTTGAGTGTGTAACCCAAGTTTGCTGTTAGAAATTTTATTT